TTGATGGCTCATGGTTCCAGAAGTCTCAGTACATAGGTAGCTGGCTCCATTCCTCAGGTCTTTAGGTAAGGCTGAACATCATGGCAGAAGAGTATGGCAGAGAGAAGCAGCTCACATGATCATCAGGCAGCAGAGAGAGAGACTCCACTCACCAGGTACAAAATATATACCTCCAATGCCCACTTCCTCCAGTCACACCCTTTTGGTCTTTAGTTACCACTCAGTTAAATCCCTACCAGGATTAATTCACCAATTGGGTTAAGATTCTCACAATCTAATCATTTCTCCTCTGAACCTTCTTGCATAGTCTCACACGTGAGTTTTATTGGGGATATCTCACATCCAAACCCTAACAAGAAATAATGAAAACAGCTCACACAGGCAAAGGAACACAGACCGATAAGACAGCACTCCTTGTGTGGATCCAGGTAGGTCTCAATAAATACTGTTTGTCAGCTCTCTGTCACTTTAACAAAATACCTGCGAGAAAAGGCTTACTTTGGCTCACAGTTCTGAAGCTTCTGATCCAAGGTTAGTCAGACCTAGGCTCTGAGCCTATGTTGGGCATTCCAGGTGGCAAATGCAGAGAAGGCATACAGAGCAAAATGGTTTCAATCGTGAGCCAGGTGCAAGAGAGAGAGAGAGAGAAAGGGACTAGGGTTCCTTTGACCTCACCTTCTTCTTTGAGGACACATCCCAATAACATAAGGACCTCCAGTGGGCTCCTCCTCCTACAGGTCCACAGCACCTCCTAATAGCACTGCCATGGGCCTGGGGGGGGGTACCCAACATCCAAACTAAGGGACTCGGGTGTAGTCCAGGGGTAGAGTGAGAGCTTGCCCTGCATGCACAAGCCCTGAGTTCAATCCCCAGCCCTGAAACCATAGCAGATGTTTATTAAATGGATGAATATTCCATTGTGGGGGTGGGAGACACAAAAAGATTGCCTTTCTAGATCTTAGAATGGGAAACTAATTTCTTGCTTTGGAAATGTGCTACCCTTTAATAAGCTGAATTTATATAACATAAGGAATAAAATAGTGGTGTTTTCCCCATGCAAATAGCTTCATAATATCCTGACACTTGCACCATTTGTATTTGAGGGGTGACCTGGTAAATGTTACACAGCAGTATTGATAACAGGAATAATTACCCAAATGGCTAATTTGAAAGCCACTCTCTAACTTATAGATTTTAGTTCATATTCTAAAAATTCTGTGTTTCCTGGATAGGAATGTATTTAGACAAACCACCACCAGGGATATCATTCTAGGGATATTATTCCCCCACCCCTGAGTTTAAACAGGGAAGTAAAATTTCACTAACTCCACAGAACTGCCTACAGTTTTCACTTTAAATTTTGAATTTTTTATTTGGACCATCTGGATTTTTCTCATTGGTGTATATTTCTTCTGTCAATATTTAGTAGGAGTTGAAAGTTCTTGAATGACTCTTCTGTCTAGATCAGACTCCAGCTGTCAGTAACATAATAACTGTTACTTCCATGGTAAGTGAAGTTTGGTGGGTAAAATATATACCAATAAAGGACATTTCTTGGTTTGGGTTTGTCACAAAAGATCAAAGAGATTTAACTTTACATGACTAGATGATATTTGAAAGAACATCGAGTCTTGATTACTTTGAACCATAACCATAAAATTAAGATGTAAAGCCTCTAAGTTTCCTGTAAAACTCAGTGGGGTTCTGGGGGTGTCATTCAGTGGTAGAGCTAACGCTTAGCTCTTAAATCCTGTGTTCCATTTCAGTCAAACCCATCTAAGCAGAATTCAGGAAGAAAGAAAATGCACACAGCCAACGTAACTTCCATCTACAATTGTTTTAATGATTAAAAAAAAAAAAACGTTTACAAATAATTGCATTCAGGGACAGACTTTGAACCTAAATAGAAAAGTAAGACAAACTTCAACATTGATCTCTGGAAATTCTAATTTGGCCCACATTGCCTTCATACTGGCCTGGTCTTAACTAGGCCAATACAGGATAGGATTCTTCCTGAGAGTTGGCAAAGATGTCATATTCCACTTTTTTGTCCAGAAATTGACAACTGTGGCTTTCAAAAATAAAAACAAACAAACAACAACAACAAAATAATGAGAAAAATTTAAGTTATTATTAGTCTGAAACCATTTATGTACTCCTGAATAAAAACAAGTTTGGATTTGTGGAATTCACTTCTAGGCATCCTTTCTGCTCATCTGTTGGCCTGTGAAGACTTTCAGTGGAAGAAAGAATAGGTCAAATTCAGATATATCCATTTCATTATTGTCAGCCAAGGGCGGGCAGGTTGAATTCAGAGCCCCAGGCCACATGCAAGCTGAAAAGAGTTTATCTGATGAGTCCAAATATGCCTCTAAAGAATCCTATCAGAGGAAAACAATGTTATAAATTGCTTATATGTCAAGTAAAAAACAAATTAAATATAGTTGCTCTAAATTGCTAATATAAAAATAGTTTCTGCTCCTATTCAAAACAGTTGCTTTAAAAAGTAGTATGTACTCTACTTTTTTAAAAAAGATTTTAAAGAAAAAACTTATGTATCTGCATCTCCTTCCTGGATCAACCACCTAACTGCTGAGCACACACAGCCACACACACTGCTGCAATCACAGGAAGCCTGAAGAAACCATTTCCAAACCCATTTGCCTGCTACTGAGTTCTGTGTGGCTGGCTTTATGCCAGTACCACACCGATGCCCTGTACCTGGTCATCTTCCCATCAGCCTTTAATAATTCTGTGCCCACTTTTGCCTAAAAAAAATAAAATAAAACCAAACCAGGGAATACCTGGGTCAGATAACCTGCCAACTATTCTACATTGAAAGACTGCTCCTATTGGGCTGGGTCCATTTTCCTTGCATGTGTACTGTGCACAGGCAGCTGACCAAGTCTTCCCCCAACCCTTCCCAGGTGTCCTTCAGGGGCTAGACGGCTTGTTGTTAGGGCCAAGAAGCAGCTTGGCACCCTGCTTGTCGATGCTGGAGTTGATGCTGTCTGCATCCTTCTCCTGCTCAGGGACACAGGTGCAGCCCACTGGGATGGTGACGTAGTCCTCCATGTACACTGAGCGACCGCCCGCACAGGCAGAGGTCCGGCGCAGGATGACAGCAGGCATGTACACTGGGGTGCTGCGGAAGTGGAAGTCCTCCTCCCCAAAAAGCCCAGTCAGGCAGCCCCGGCACAAGCAGTAGGCTTCAGGCAGGTACCTAGGGAACCTTGCCGGGTCATAGGAAATTCTGAAAAAAGAGATTGAGGGATTAATTTGTGATTTGGGGGCAACTGACACACACATGGAGAAAGGACAGCTTCTACAAGGTTTGAGCTTCTGAGACCAAACACCAGAAAAAAGGTGGGGAGCATAGCAAACACTCTGTTGAAATTATTGATTAAATGAAATGGGTTGAGGAGGAGGCTAGGCCTTACATCTGACATCTTATCATCCAGTTAGTGTCCGCTTGAGGCCCCACGCTGAAATAGATACACTTGAGCTTTGTTATATTTTAAATGCTGAAGACAGCATTTATATCTATTCTTGAGCCAACCCATAAAATTAACCTAAAGTCTGCAATCATGTAAATAGAAAAAAAAAATTCTAGGCAGCCTGCACATGTGACTACAGGGGCCAATGGAATAGAAAGAGACCCAATGTCCGCTTGGGGCCACCTCTGGGGCCTCTCCACCAGCCAGTCACAGAAGATGCGCAGGCTGGTACAGAGGCCACGAAGGGGAGACACTGATGCAGAACCACAAGCAAAGGCAACTGCAGGACATCTGTGTTGAAGTGCACAGTGACTGTGTCCATCTGTCTGTTGGGGTCCATATGCCTTTCTGTTTGAAGGAATCCACATGGCACAAGGAGAGGGCAGGACTGGCTGGCCTGGGATATTCAAAAACTGGTTTAAATTGGATCAATTTCATTCTCCTTCCAGTCTTCCTATTTTGGGATCAAATGCCAAGAACTGAGTGTCAGTACCTCTGGAGCAGCCTGGGCCAAGTGCCAAGGAATGAGCTGGTTGGCTGGGCCAGGTGGCTTCCTGGGAGGAGGCAAAAGCAGCACCAGGCTGCCCTCCACAATCCACCTGCACAGCCCTACCAAATCAAACAGTCATTCCCAGGAGCCCAGGAGACCTCAGGAAGCTCCCTTTATAGAAGTAAGCACTGTTCCCATTTCTTACTGGACTGCCATGACCCTCATTTCTTGTTCCAATAATCTGCCCACTTAAAACATGGGCAATCCTCTTATGAATCCGCTTCTCTTTCTTCAGGGACAGAGTCCTAGAGATCCTAAAATCCCACAGTCACAGTCTTAACTTCTCTAACCTGCTCAGCAATATACATATACTTGAGGACCCACAATGTGCCAGCCCAGGAACACTCACAAGACCCTACAGCAGCCTCTCAGCTCAGTGGGGCCTGGGGAAGGGTAGACAGATGGGTTTGCAGATCTTTCCACCCGAACCCCAAGACGTGCAGGTTGTGCCATCTGGTTCCAGACCCTAACCGGCTCAACACAGACGGTGCCACAGCAGGGCACCAGAGTGCCTGCCTCAACCTGACCCGCCCCACCTTGCAGTGTCCTAGGGATCCTGAGGACTCTTTTTCATCTAGCTCCTCGCTACTAAAGACTGTGACTCAGAGGTTTCCAGTGAGAAAATACATTCAGAGAACCCAGACTAAAGGAGGAAGAGAGACCAGTGACAGGTCTGGGGGCTGATGAGTGCTGAATAGAGGTGAGGGTGGGTCTGCAGAAAGAAGGAACTGGAGGGCAGATACTGCCCACTTAGCTTGGTGTGGGCCAGAAAGCTGGGGGTGGAGGCCCGGGGTAAAGGAGTTCCTGCTAGATGTAGAGCCCCTTTGACTCCCTTCCTGTGCTGTTCTAGGGTGCAGAGAGCCCAGATGAAGGCTCATAAAGGGGTGCGGGGGACAGTGCAAAATGCAAAAGTTGTCTAACATAAACAACATTTTTTTGTCCACTTATGCTTCCCTCCACATGCACATGAATAGTTGAAAGGGTACTTTTTATGCTCCTCCCCACTAATGTTTTTTTTCTGTGATTTGGAAGCATAATGAGCCTAGAAAATCCTTGCCAGGACTGAGGAAACCATCCCCCCTAGTCTTTCAGGGTTGTGAGCCTCCTGACATCCCCCCTTAGGACCTCTCCACTGGAATGTACCCGTCACAAAAACTCAAACCCTGTGCTCTGCTCTCAAAGGCCACCAGATTGGTCCTTACCTCCATTCCTTTCCACGGTTCCCCTCACTGTCTTCTCTTTCAAGCCTCCTATACTCTGGGTGTTCCAAGGGGAATGTTCCTCACATCCCACAGCTAAGTTCTGCTTAAGGTCCTTTTTCCCCCCCAAACCAGTAACAATTTACTGAATTCTTGCCTATTCGGTGAATTCAGGTCCAATTCAAATCATTATCTTAAAGGTTCCCAAATTTCCTCAGGAGAATTTAAATTCTTTCTTCATATCATTGTAACATGACTGGCGATGCGGCTTTGTGATAGAGCATTTGCCCAGCATGTGCAAGTCCCCTGGCTTCAATCCCCATCACCACGAAAAACAAAAACCTGTCCATGTTCTTGTAACACGTGGTGCCTCTGGACAGAACTCTATGTTGTCTGTCTGCCTGTAACAAAAACTCAGTCTCTTTACTTTTGCCTGAACCTCTGCCTCCATTTTGCATCTGTCTCTTTTGCTATGAGTTGCCTTGGATTCTAGGAACAACAGGTCCATTATGGTGGTGTCCTTTCAAAAGCTTATGTGTGAGTTAATGCAAGAAGGTTCAGAGGTGAAATGATTTAATGATGAGCACTGTAACCCAATCAGTGGACTAATCCCCTGGTAGAGATTAATTGGGTAGTAACCCTAGGTAGGCAGGGTATGGCTGGAGGAGGGTGAATACTGGGGGAGTGGGGGGCATGCCTTTGAGGTTTATATTTTATCTCTGGTAAGCACAACTCTCTGCCTCCTGGTGGCCATGTCCTGAGCTGCTTTCTTCCTTCCCACTCTTCTGCCAGACCTCGGGCCCAGAGCAATGGAGTTGGCCGTCTATGAGACTGACACCTCTGAAACTATAAGCCCCAAATAACTTTTCCTCCTTACTTTGTTCTTGCCAGGTCTTTTTGGTCACAGAAACAAAAAAGCTTACTAAAACAAGTTCTGATTGATAAACATCTTGTAATGTCCTGGAACCACTCCCCAGGCAACAGTAGCTGTCGTATCACCAAACTGCACAGTCGGAAAAGAATGGACAGTCCATGCCTGATCAAGATCATCTGCTTTAGTAGCTGCATAGAACCTCTGGCTATGCAAAGCCCCAATCTTTGCCCTCATTTCCCTTTCTATTAACATCAAAGTCATTGTCAGTCCCCTGCAGACAGGGCTAAAGTTGTGGGTCCCCTCATCTTCCTAGTGTAACTGTACTGATTAAAGTTTTTTTCCTGCTTTTCACCATTACTTTTCTGCTTAGTGTTTGGGGCCAGCGGCTGCACCTTATTTGTTGGACCCCAGAGTCAGGCCTCTGGCCTAGGATTCTGGTCACATGCCCTGGACAGAAAGGTCAGACTGTGTGGTCATTTCTCCTCTTTTCCTCCTGGCCCATTCTAGCCTGTCTGCAAAGGAAGAGTCAGGAGCTGGGAGCTGGGGACGGGTTAGTCTGCCTGTGTTGGCTTCTGACCTCACAACCCAAGGTCAATTCAAGACCCTAACTTAACATCTGAAGGAAAGAGATTTATAGTTAGTATTCACACTATCACTTTCAACATTTATCCACTGAATATCTGAGGGCTTTTTTCAGGCAGTAGGGATACAGACAAAACACATACCCACTCTCCAAGATTCACAATCTGGAGGGAGACATACTAATAACAGGAGTTCACCTGGCCTGTGGGAGGCTTTAGGAAGAGGTGGCTCTTGACTGGATTTATCTACATGAAGAAATGAGAAAGAGCCTTTGGGGTGGAGGTCCAAGTACAGGATAGAGGGAGTAGGTACAGGGGGGAGGTACAAGTTGAGAAGGTCACAGGGATAAAGAAAGCTGCACCCTGTCAGGAATGCACATCCCTCAGGTATTCTGGTCGGACCCTGAAGGCAACAGGATGGGAAATGACCTGATGAGATGGACGGGTAGAGAGATCCCTTCATCTCTGGGGAGGAACAGCATCTGGGGCCCAAGAGGGGGATCTTAGCTGAAGCTGATTTTGAATTATTGGTATACGGATGGTGACTAAGAGAGGAGCATGGAAGGGAGAACAGAAGGAGTGGAGGTCACCACCTTTGAGGGGAAGAAATCTGAGTGTGGACACTGTGACATCCTTGAGGCCAAGAAAGGCAGAGGATGGAGACAGAGGTGGTCAAAAGCTGAACTTGAATTGGAACCAGTTTATCAGACGTGGGGATGGAAAGTCTTAGACTGTATGTCATCACTATAACAATGTGCCTGGGATTGGGTAATATATAAAGAATTTAGTTCATGGTTCTCGAGACTGGGAAGCCCAAGAGCTGGGAGTTGGCCTCTTCTCAGTATCTGGGGAGGGCCTCATGCTGCATCATAACACAGTGCAGGGCAGCACATGGTGAGACAGAGCAAGGGCGCCCACTCAAGTCTCTCTTCCTCTTCTTATAAGGAAGAGGAAGCCCCAGGAAGCCCCACCTCGTGACCTCATCTAACCCACTTCCAAATGCTATCAACCTGTGAGTTTGGGAATTAAACTTCCAACAAATGAACTTTGGGGAACACATTCAAACCACAGCAAAGCAATATGAATGTGGGAAACTTGATAGGATTTCCAAGAGGAAAAACTAGGAGGGAGCCTACATATGAAAAGGGCTTGAGAAAGGGACACAAACCCCAGGAGCATCCCTGCCTGGTGCAGTGAAGACTCATGGAGCCTCTGCCCGTTCCCATGTGTCTCTGTCTCAGGAATCAATTATTTGGTTGCTTTAAAAACCTATCAGATCCAAACTGGGGCACATCCCACAAAACAACTGACCACTGTCCTGGGGCAGAGAAGAGGCATTAGGAGGGCACTTTGAATGAAGTCTGCAGATTAGATAACAGGGTCCTATCTATGTTCATTGCCTGATCTTGATTGATTTGCTGGCTATTGATGCTGCCATTTGGGAACACCTGGGTAAAGGGTGTATGGGAATTTCTTGTCCTAATTTTACAACAGTTTTGCTACTTTGAACAGTTGAAAATAAAGAGGAAAATTTTAAATTTCAAAAACCTCC